AAACAAACCAGTACAACGCACTCAGATAGATATGTTTGTGATTATATGATTTGCTAGTCGCTTTTTGAATACATTGAACGAGTCTACATTTTTTTATTTCCGAGGGTATCTTATTAAAAAGGCGCGAACCTTCGCATGTAATTGTGGTCTGGCCGTACTTTGTTCGAGTTCTAGGCAAAACAATGAAGCTTGCGCGTCGAGTGCAGATGCCCCCAACTTTTTTCGCTTGATGAATTGCATGCGGACCTTCTTGTTCATGAATTTGCGAATAAAGATACATGTGCTGTAAATGTATAATTGTTTGATATTCATCAGATTCGTCTCTCGGAAAATTTTTGAAGTTGACGTTCGGAAATTGTAGTTGAATAGCATTTTTATGATTTTATTTTGTAGGATTTGTAATTTGTTTAATCTAGTACTGGCAGCGCTTTCCCAGACCTTGATGAGATATAACAGGTGTGGTTTAACTAGGGCATTATATATTGTGAAACGTAGTTTCTGTGGTATGTATCGAAAATTAATCCGAAGTAAGGCGTGAAGTGACCTTAATTTGGTTATTAAATATTTAATGTGAACTTTCTATGTTAAATTTGTATCCAAATGAAGGCCAAGATATTTTTTTAGTTTTTTCTTGCAATGGTGTATTGTTTATTTTAAGAGGTAAAAATTAGGTATAGGTTTATTTTTTGCTTTAAATATTATGTAGCTAGTTTTGGAAATGTTGATAGTTAGTAAATTGTATTGTAACCAATCGCGAAGAATATCAAGGTCCTGCTGGGCTTGAGGGACAAGATCATGATTTGAAGATCCAAAGTAAAAAAGACAAGTGTCATTGGCGTAAAGTGCGATATTGCCATTCAAGCCCAACTCATGTATATTGTTAAAATAGTCTAAAAAGAGCAGAGGACCCAATATTGAACCTTGTGGAACTCCATAGGTTATGGGTTGTGGGGGACTTTGAGTGCTACTGTCTATTTTAACGACCTGGGATCTATTCGTGAGGTAAGACTCAAACATTTTTAATGCTATGCCACTAATACCAATGACTTCCAGTTTTTTTTTAAGAGCAGCTTATGACTTACGGTGTCAAACGCCTTTTTTAAATCGATGAATACTCCTAGTACGATGTTTTTCTTATCAATGTTTTGTTTGATTTTAGTTACCAGATCAATTGTAGCTGTGAGTGTATTACTTTTAGAACGAAATCCGTACTGTCTATCAAAAAAGAAATCTATAGAATCTAAGTAGTTTTGTAGCCGTGTATGTAAGACTTTTTCGAAAATTTTTGATGATACTGGCAGTACGAAAATTGGTCGATAGTTGCCCGGTTCTGTTTTTGGTCCCGATTTGTAAATAGGTGTTACTTTGGCTATTTTAAGTGAGTCTGGAAATGATCCGTTTTGTAAAAGTTTGTTTAAGATAAAAAAAAATAGACAGGTGTCAACTATGTTTATTTTGTCTAAATATTTTAATAAAAATAACTATACATTTTAATTGTAAAATTTTAGTGCACAAAGGAAATTTTTATTGTTGTCAAAGATTTAAATAGTATAACAGTGGTTTATATAATATCTGAAATTAACTAAGAGACATAAAAAATTTTCAAGATTGTGACATAATATGCCAAATGTAACAAAACAATTCGCAACAAAGGATTTCTGAAATATTATATATTTGATTGACTGATGAAGAGCTATCGTATCGCAAAGCCATATAAGAGTTTGTCGGGATATTTTTCATATTTGCGCATGGGGATTTTGTTTTTGTTCCCACTACAGTGCCTGTTCAGTATTTGAAAAGTTCTAGTCCGCGTATGATAACTTCAAGACACGGTTGCTAAGGCCGCCATCGTTTGTTCTAGCGACGCCATACGTCCGTGGATCTCTTACACTGCAGCTTCCAATTGCAGAACCGTCCTGTGACGCACCTACGTAACGACGCATGCGTCTTGTTACCAAAACAAGCAGCCTTCATATTTTGACTTTGACCTTTTTATATCTTCAGTCTAATTGTTAAGTTACTTTATTGTGTTTTTTTTAATTTGTTTTAAGTTATTCTTTTTTGTTATTGTATTTAACTGTTGTGAATCCAATCTAGTGATGACACGGCAAACGCGACACTTATATGTACACAGTGCAACAAGTCATTCAAATCTTTAAAAGGCCTCAACATACACACTACAAAAACACACAGGAAATCTATTAGCCAAAACAGTTCACCTTTAGACATACACCCTTTTATTCCAAATACGCCTACTTTTGCAGTCAACTTTCCAACTCCTTTCCACACATATCTTAGCCATTTGAAAAATAGTATACAGACAGTTAAAAGAATCCCTCGAGGAGCTCGAATAACCGTTGCTACACATTTGTCACAATTAATCCAGAAATGTTACATAAGCAATTGTACTCAAGACTGGCAGAACCTATTTTTATTTTCATACAGCACACTACATATAACAAAAACTGATAAACCAAATTTATCCTTGACACAAAAGATTAAAAATAACTGTACTGTCAGCTCCTCACCTTCTCCCGCACCTCTAATCAAACATGATTCCCCTCGTAATCGCAACAAACTAATCGAAAACAAAATCTGTGACGGAGATCTCAAAGGTGCCGCTCGCCTTTTGTTCTCCAACGAGGTGCTTTCACCAGATACCCCTGACACCCTTCAGGCCTTACGGTCAAAACATCCTCTAGCTCCAGTAAACCCATATTTTCTCGACCGACCAACAGTAGGGCAAGCATGCCTTCAAATTCAAAACAAAGATGTTACGGATGCCATTTTATCTTTTAAACCAGGTTCGGCTGCAGGTTTGGATGGAATCTCACCGCAACATTTGAAAGACTTAATATCGCATTCTATGGGTGATGCAGGTGAGCAACTTGTAAATTCGATCACTAAATTAATCAACTTTATGTATTCCGGTAATATCAATCCAGAAATTGTTCCAATTCTTTTCGGTGCGAACCTCATTGCTCTCACCAAAAAGGACGGAGTGGTGAGACCAATTGCTGTTGGATCAACACTACGACGCCTGGCCTCCAAAATTGCTGTTCGACATATTTTACAGAAATTAAATTCGGAATTTAAACCCGTACAGTTAGGCTTCGGTGTAAAAGGAGGGTGTGAGGCAGCCGTCCATGCCCTACGTTCTTTCCTAACATATGGACATCCTGACGTGTTGCTCAAAATTGATGTCAAAAATGCTTTCAATTCGGTAAATAGGGGGACCCTACTGACCGAAATAAATCAACATATACCCGAAATATACAATTATCTTCTTCTCAGTTACGCTGACCCAACAAAATTGTTATATCGGTCTAATGAATTATCCTCGGAAGTAGGTTGTCAACAAGGTGATCCCCTTGGACCAGCAATTTTTAGTTTGGCTATAAATCCCATAATTAAAAGTTTAAATTCTAAATTCAATATTTGGTATCTGAATGACGGAACTTTAGGAGGTGATATGGAAACTGTATTTTCTGACCTTTTTTTCAATCAAAAATAAATTTGAAGCCATTGGTTTGGAGCTTAACTTTAGCAAATGCGAACTTTTTTATAAATAACTGCAACTTAAATTTAAATGACGTAAAACACAAATTTAATACTTTGGCACCAAATATTAAAATAGTTAACAGTAATTCCCTTTACCTTTTAGGTTCTCCAATTTTTAACGAATCTATGTCTGAATATATTAATAATTCAATTGCTAAATTTCAAAATTCTGCTGACCGTCTCCTTGAAATTAGTCCACATTATGCACTTTGCATTTTAAAATCTTGCCTTTTTGTCCCGAAATTTACGTATGTGCTCCGTTGCTGCTCCTTTTGGAATCACCCAGACCTCTTGACACAAGTGGACAACTTAATCAAAATTAGTTTAGAATCGATTCTTAATATACACATGAACGAGCAATCTTGGACCCAAGCCTCCCTACCCATCCGTTATGGTGGTTTAGGAATTCGCAAAATTTCCAGTGTCTCTTTACCAGCCTTCCTATCTTCTGTCTATAGTTCAGCAAATCTCATAAGTAAAATTTTAGGGGCATCCCCTTCAAACTTTGAGATTGCTGGCCTGGAAGAAGCTAGAAACGCTTTCTTAATTGAATGCCCTGGTCAAAATTTTCAATTTCCTCTAAATTCACAGAGGAGCTGGGACGACATAAACTGCAAATTGACTTATGACAATCTTTTGAGCTTTAGTACAGGTTCGGCGCGTGCTAGGCTTTTGGCCGTGGGTACGCATGAGGCCGGCTACTGGCTTCACGCGTATCCTTCGTCAAATACAGGAACATTTCTTGAGCCTGACACACTCCGAATCGCAACCTGTCTACGGCTTGGGGTTCCGGTCTGCGCTCCTCATAAATGTCCGTGTGGCAGTGACGTCGACAAGCTAGGATATCACGGGCTATCATGCCAAAAAAGTGCAGGTCGCTTCTCGAGACATGCAGCTCTTAACGATATCATACGCCGGTCTCTTGCCACCGTCAACGTGCCAAGTCTACTTGAGCCGTCTGGTATTGCAAGAGACGATGGCAAGAGACCGGACGGTATGAGTTTGATTCCATGGAGGATGGGCCGGGTGGTGGTATGGGATGCAACCTGTTCAGATACGCTGGTCCCTTCCCATCTACGTGGAACCAACAACAGAGCTGGTGCGGCTTGTGAAGCGACAGAAAGGGCTAAAGTTTGCAAATACAGGGGTCTAGGCTCCGAATATATTTTTGTCCCTTTCGGTGTCGAGACCCTTCGGCCGTGGGGTCCTAGCGCTATAAACCTTTTTAAGGAAATAGCAAAAAAGGTTAATCGACGTCACAGGAGACCGAAGAGCTGGCAGTTACCTCGGACAAAGAATTAGTCTAGCTATTCAACGGGGAAACGCTGCCAGTATCTTCGGAACCTTGCCTAAAGGACCTCTTTTTTAATAATTTCATTTAGTTATTATAATATATATTTTTAAGGTTTTTAGTATTAGAATTAGTTTGTGAATATATATTATAGCACAATAAACGTCTCAAAAAGTTTGTTAAAGTTTTTCGTTAATGAATTTATTATTAAGTCCTTCACACACTTGATAACTTTTGTACTAATACCATCTAGACCGACACTACTGTTTGAATCAAGATTGTTAATAATATTAAGGATTTCTTCTTCAAAGCATGGGTCTAAACTATTGATTTGCAAATTTTGTAAAAGTGGTTTTGGTAGTGCGTGAGTATAATTTACATGGAACTGAATAGGTATTTCGTAAGCTAAATATGGCCCTATAGTAGCGAAAAAGTTATTAAATATATTGCATATCTCATGAGGATCAGTAAATTCTATTGAATTAACAATAAGTTTGAGAGGAGCGCATCTTTGTTTAAATTTATTACTTGTGAGGGTATTGAGTAAATTCCATAGCTTTTTGGGCTTTCCACTGTATTTATCGAATTCCTTCTTATAATATGACTTCTTTGTTTCCCGTATCAACTTGATTATTTTATGTCTTTTGGTGATAAACTTTTCTCTCAGGTCTTCTCTTTCTGGGTTGTTCTGTAGTTCAGTCCACATCAAGTTTCTTTCATTGATCTCTGTTATGATACTTTTGTTTATCCATTCTTTTTGTGGTTCATTCATAATTTTGGTCTTTATTACTTTGCTTTCTTCCATACATTTTTTTATTAGTTTTTCCAGTCTTGTGAAGTCATCGTTGGATTCTTGTATTCCTGCTTTCTCCATTGATTATGAAGTTCCTTATAATTTATTGCTTCGTATTGATAATATTTTCTTGGGGGCGGTTTTGTTTTCTTGATTTCCACGTGAAGCTGTCTATGACCAGAAAAAGATGAGTTGACATATACCATATGAAAGTTTTCTTCCTTTAAGTTGGTGCTTACATGATCTAGGATAGACTTATAATCAGCTCATTAGACACGATGTATTTTTCTAATAGAGAACTGATACGACTTAGTTCAGATCTCATTCCTACTAATTCTTCAGAGCATGCACACTCGACACCAAAAGGCAATTTTCGTTTCCGAAATGTAATTGATGAATCCGACACTAAATCACTCATTTTAGATATATCTGGTTGCGACCCTCCAGTTGGTGACCTCTGAACGCTCATATTGCTTGCGTTACGTCAACCGACACACCGATGCTACGTATTGAGTAAGCGAGTTAAAAAATAGCAACCGTACGTGTTTCGCGGGGGTGAAGACGGCTCACTTGTAGCGGGGGTCCTCTTTGTTGATGCACAGGAGCGTAATGTCACGTTAAACAAACAACTTTCACACGGTTAAACGTTTTAAGTCTTCTTAGTTAAGGATGGAATTAGACTTGCACTGATTTAGAAAATATTTAGAATTTACTTGTACACGTCTACTCAGTACGACAACGAACAACAAACACCCATGCTGCTGCCCATCTCTTGGCTTATTTCTGTTTGTCGCTTCTAAAGACGGCACCCAACGGGCCGATATGGGATAGTAGATATTTTACACTGCCACTACACGGTACGTCTTAGACTACGTCTCTCGTTATAGAAAAGTCTACGCTCAAACTGTCCGCACTTAGTCGGTTGGGACCGGTGTTGTCTGGAACATTCTGGATGTTTCGGTGGAAAAGGTGTATTTAAAGCCGCTGCAAGCCACGATCGGACCAGTATTGAATTGGCGATACGAGCGAAGCTTTCGGAGCGAAATAGAGTGAAAAAAAGTGTTAAGTGTGATTAATGATTAGTGTGATTTAAGTTTTAATTGGTGTCGGTAACTAAAGTATATATTTTGGTAATTCCATCGGCAGTTTTTATTGTCACGAACCCTAAGCTCTTTTCTCTTTACGTCTACGTCTGAGACTTATGTCTTATGGTATAAGGTATAAGGTCAAATTATGTGTAAGGTCAAATTTTGTACCTTATCATCAATCATCATAAACAGTGCAGAAAAGTCAAATATTTTACAATACATATGTTTATTTCATTATCTCTTTTTATTTTTATTTTGATCAAATTTCACTGCTGAACATTGCCGTCTTTTGTTTTAGAGAAATTTTGCCGTAAACGTCGCGCTTGCCATGCGGGTTGGCGATCACAATACAAAATGTGTCTAAAACACTGCTTCCTGTCACCAGTTCTTAACAAAGTTCGATTTAATAAATAAAAATAAAACCGAGCTCGTAAATTCTATTCGACATGTATAAAGTATGTTCCCAGATGCCTCAAAAACGATTGAAGCGATTTAAATTATAGTTATTTTATTAGGTAAGTAGTTTATATTCTTCAGGGGTATAAATTTGAAGAAAGAAATCCATTGAATAAAACTAATTTTACGGATTTTATCGCGTTTATTTAACTGATTTTACTTATTTTTAATTCCCGACGTTTCGGGAAATCATTATGAAAGAAATCCATCTCTAAAGAAGGGCAATAGGGGAAAAGGTTTTAATGGAACTACTTACACGAAATAAGCCTTGGGACTTCAGCTGTGACACACAGGATCGCCCCCGTCACATCGATTTGATAGACCCAGATCCTCGCTAAAAACCGATTCCTTCCAGATTCGAGGCTATTATCAAAAAACATCCTAATTTCAATAGAGAAGAGCTGGGTACTACCATTGGATCTATTAATAAAATTAAATCCCAACCTATGATACCGCATGATACCAAAGTTCATACTGCATAGAATCTATGGTAACCGTTCTAACGTTGAACATCTCTGTCCGCCCGGACAAAAAGCGTAAACGTCGGGTATTCAAAAAGTTACATTATACGCGATACATTCGGTAAAAAAGATTATTTCAATCATGAAATTTTTCTGTCATTCTTAAATTAAATTAAATTAAATTAAAATTTCCTTTATTTCCAAAAATCTTATTACATAGATTTGTCGAGTCTTCCCTTTAAGTAGTCAGAGACACTTGTGTTGGGAATAACTCGCTTCTTCCCTTACGGTTGGCTAAATAAGATAAACTAGGTATGTATATTATATTTAAAAGTTTAGAATGGTTAACATAAAAATTTAACATTTTTGATATAATTCAAATTTAAATTTAAATTGCGGCTCCAGTGGCGATGAACTATTTTCATGTAAGCATGTATGGTAGTATATAAATGTGCGTGAGTGTGTATATATGTTTGTGTGCGTTTGTACATTTTTATGTTTATGTGTGTGTATTTAATTGTGTGTGTGTTTTTTACGTGTGTGTGTGTGTGTGTGTGTGTGTGTGTGTGTGTGTACGTGTGCGTGTACATGTATATGCGCACGTGGTGTGTGAATGAGTGTATGTATGTGTGTATACGAGATCGCGTCTGTGTGTGAGTGTGCATGTGTGTATGTGTTGGTTACCTGTATGCCCTACGGATAAGGTTCCTTGGGATCGGTATGAATATTCCGCATACAGGAACCAGCATTAATTGAACCAAAATTTTAACAAATTCTTATGAAAAGGTTTTCAACATCTTAATAGCTAAGTGAATCCAACCATTCCATCCACAGTTTTCCTGCAAGTGTAAGATAACGTGGGGTATATTTTAAGTATATTGTTTACTTTGTTCCATATATAAGCAGACTGCCTACTATACTGTCTTCTAGCAAACGCAGTACGTGCGGCAGTGACGGATGCAACGACATCTTTCTTTCTTTTATGACTCAGGTCGACATAAGGCAGAGATTTGTGGCACGTTAAGACGAGATTCAGTATATAGAGTTTTCGGACTGTGAGTAGGCCACTCATTCTATATAGTGTATCAGCGAGAAAACGATAAGTTTTGGAGTAGATGACTTTGATAAGTGATCTCTGAACTCTTTCGAGTGCAAGGAAGTGACTTTTGTCTGCTCCTCCCCAAATGGAGATACAATAGGTGAGCACCGATTGGGCCAGGGCCACGTAGATTCGGTTTTTAAGTTTGTTACACATGACCTGCCTTACCATATGAGTTTCCTAGTGCGGTTTGTTAAAAGCTTCAAATGTGAGTGCCAGCTAAGTCGCTGGTCCAGCATTATACCTAGGTATTTAGTTTGGCTAACTTTTTCAATAACCGCTCGTTTGCTTCTTGCAACCACAGTTGCAAAAACAGAATCCTTAACTTTGCTCTTTGCAACTGTGGTTGCAAAGCGACGAAGTTCTTTTAATTGAATTTAGACCGTATTTTAAACGCACAGAGTCTAACCATTACGTATTAAAACCAAAAACAAATATATTATATCAATCATAGATTTGGATCGAAATTACCAACCTCTCGGACGACAAATATCGAAACTTTGTTAGTTTAAGTTTAGTAAGTGAAGTGACACTTGAGTGGATTTAACGAGGTGATAAAATATGCAGTGAGTATTGAATTTTATTGATTTTTTGCTAGTATTTATATACAAAATTAATATCTTATTAGTGTTTTCTTGTATTATAGTAATATTTTTGCAAATACTGTATGAAAAATGTGATAAAGTCGACTTTTAAAAATACTCAGAATGACGCGAATCTAAACATAATTTTCTATAGCTTACATTATCATAATTATGTTGTATTCTTTAAATACGAAATAGTCGTAGTGGTATTTGAATATATTCAATTTAAATCATAAAGTTTTATAAATTGTTCATCATATTATAATATATTGTGGAAATAAAACCGCCCAGTGAGTTTTTACCTTGTCGAATTACTTTTGCCACTCTGGTTGCAAGAAGCAATTCAAGTGTTTTGGCTTAGGGTTGGCGCTTGGTGGATTTTTGAGCATGAAATTTATTTTGTGTTTTTTGCAACAAATATTGTGATGTAAGTGTGGTGTTATGTGTGGTTTTTTAACAATACCATCTTAACTTTTTTCGTAACCAAAATTTTTGGAACAGCAGCGGCACAGTGATAGGCGGAAAAAAGGTGAAGTTTTCATTTAGGTGGTGCTGACAGCTGAAGAGTTTTTTACAATTCCGGTTTTTTAATTTATTTTAAATGTTTTTTAATAAAGTGGGCAAGATAAATGTAATAACGGAAAAGGACGAGGTAGAGGAGGAGGTAAAAGACTAGGTCGAGGCCCTGAAAAAGCATGTGAGAGCAATGATAAGCTTATAATACCAGTTACTAGACTCCACAGAATTAGTAATTCATTTATGGGGCAATGTATACACTTTTACAATAAAGTCCCAGAAAATGTACAAAATTTGTCATTAAACAAGTTTAAATGTTTTATTAAAGAAAAATTGTACAAAAAGCGTTATTATAATATAAATAAATACGTAAATGAAAATAACCCCTGGGAATGAGTTGATCGCCGCCATGCTGTTTCTATAAAAAATCATACAAAAATTACACAAAATAAATTTATTGTTAATTAAAATATGTTTAAAAAAGTCAAAGACAGAGGTATTTTTTTGCGAACCAGTAGTAAATAAAAATTGATTTTCAATAAGTATTATACAATATAGATTTATTGAATAAAAATCACTCATTTCATTTCACGACATATGGCATACTACTGTGGTGAAATGCCCACATTGATGCCCCTTTGTGTTGCAGAAAAGGGCTGTTCGGACTATCTATGGTATGAGGTCAGTTATTCGATGTTGTGCCAACCCTAGCTAAAGTCGGCCGCCATCTTTACGATTCGTTCCCCAAGCAATCGATCTCAGCGTTTTTGAGAACATATTTAGCCAGATTTATTTTATTTTGTATTAATATAAAACAAATGACGGGCGGCGACGAGGTTCGCCACCCGTCACGTTCTGTCTCCCGGAGGGGCGAAAA